ACGTTGACAGGGCAATCAGCCAGTTCTGAGTGTGATGGGATTAGGAAGGAGAAAGGGAAGGGTGGTGATTTCCCGAGTATTTTGCCAAGCTCTGTTCCGAAACTCCTTAACAGTTCCTTGGCATTTCCATTCTAAGATGGCACCCTGAGCACGAGGTATAACCCCTCCCTTTCCTGCCCCAGATGCTCTGAAATAATGAAAAGAGCTTAATAAGAATCCAGAATTGGGCAAGAAAAGGAGAGGTAGACTAGAAACTCTGGTAGGACAGGACTGAAGAAGGAAACCTCTGCCAAAATGGCTTCTCAAATATGAAGGACATGGGTTTCCCTGGTTGTCCAGTGGTTAAGCATCAGCCCTGCAATGCAGGGGACACCGGTTTGATCCTTGGTCCAAGAAGATCCCACATGCCCAGTGGTGACTAAGCCTGCGGCTTGCTGAAGCCTGGGAGCTGCAACTACTGAGCCCGAATGCCTAGAGTCTATGCTCCGCAATAAGGGAAGCCACTACAATGAGAAACCTACACGCTACAACTAGAGTAGCCCCCACTTGTCACAGCTAGAGAAAGCCCATGAGCTGCAATGAAGACCCAGCACAGTCAAATAAATTTTTAAAAAGATGAAAGACATGAGGGGCGTGGACACCAGGAGCAGGAGGGTGGCTCCTGGCACCCCACCAGGGGAATGTTGGGCTCCTGCAAGAGAAACAACTAAGCCAGCGCCAGGTCTCACCCCGTCCTTGGGCGACCAGGTTAGGAGTGGCTGTGGGTCTGAGAAATGCAGCGGAGTCCACAGGGCTGACAACACACAGGCAGATCAGGAACTCATGGGCCCGGAAGATCAGCCACCAGCACAGCCTCTCTCGTGGCTCCCCCAGCTCCAGCCCCACCTCACCTGAGAAGCGCTGTCTGCAGCACATGTAGCCAAGTGGCATATCCTGCCTATGCCCTCGTGAGCAGGGGGCAGTAAGACAGCATCTCTGATCAGGCTGACAGAGAACCTCACAGCCAAAATGAGCATTCTGCTAGACATCACCAAACATGCGAACACCAAGAAAGTCATTATACTCAACGAACTGAAGACCTCAGAGCGCAGAGAAACAGAGCAGGCAACTCAGAACTTTAGAACCTGTGTAATTTATGTTCCCTGAGAGGTTTAAGATGATACTATGCCCATGAAAAAAGAATTAACTAGATACCCTGAAGATTAAAGTTGGATTGTTGAAATAAAAACTCAACAGCTAGGCTAAATAACAGAATGGGCACCACTGAAGAACAAATTTAAAAAGGAATGTTGAGTTGAGGAATTCAGCTTAACAGGACAAAAAGATATAAAGCATTAAAAAAAAATAAAGGAGGGCCTGGTTTCAATCCCTGGTCAGGAAACTAGATCCCACATGCCGCATCTAAGAGCTCACATGCCACAGCTAAAGATCCCATGGGTCCCAATTAAAAGATTCTCATGCCATCACTAAGACCTGGAACAGCCAAATAAATTAATAAATATATTTTTTAAAATTAAGGAACATACCAGCAGATCCAGAAGTTCCAATACTCATGTACAAGGGATTCCACAAAGAGAAAACATAGAGGACAGAGCACAAAGAGAAATAAAAGAGAACACTGTCTCAGAATTTAAGGAACTCAAGAGTCTTCAGATTAACCATACCATTAAGTACAAAGCAACATGAATGAAAGGAGATCTATGTCCTAGTAAAATTCCTAATTCTCCCATTGCCAAATCTCAAATGCTTCCAGAAGAAAATAAAAATGAAAAAAAAAAAAAAAAGATTATCTTATAAAGGAGTAAGAATGAGATGGCCTTCAGGTTTTTTCCAGGCAGCAATGAACGCCAGATGATAGACTGCCTTTGTCTATCCTACAACAGCCATGAGGTGAAAGCAACTTAGCCATCCAACAACAAATGAATGAACAAACAAAATGTAGTCTCTATGTACAATGAAGTACTCAGCCTTAAAAAGGAACAAAATTCTGATAAATGATACAACACAGATAAATCTGAAAACATGCTAACTGAAATAAGCTGGACACAAATTGTTTGAGTCCACCTACATGAGGTACCCAGAAGAGGCAAATTCACAGACAGAAAATTGACCAGAGGTAACCAGAGGTGACCAGAGGTAGGGAAGAAGAGGTAATGAGTGCTATTATTTAATGCATACAGAGCTTCTATCTGGGGTAATCAAAAACTTTAAGTAAGAAATGGTTGTTTGATAATGTGAATGTGTACTTGCATGCTCAATTGCTTCAGTCATGTCCAGTTCTTTGTGACCCTAGGGACTGTAGCCTGCCAAGCTCCTCTGTCCATGGGATTCTCTAGGCAAGAATACTGGATGGGTTGCCATGCCCTCCTCCAGGGAATCTTCCCGACCCAAGGATCGAACATGCGTCTCCTGCGTTGCAGATTAGATTCTTTACCACTGAGCCACTGGGGAAGCCTGAATGTATACTTAATGCTATGAAATTGTACAGTGAAAAATAATTAAAATGGTAAATTTTAATGCAATGTATATTTCAATACAATTTTTAAAGAGATAAAGTAGGTACCTTGAATAAACCAATTACTATTGAAGAGACTGAAAGGACAAGGATCTGGATTGAAAACAGGTGACACACCTAGATGGTTTCTGCAGGCAAGATCTGGGACTTCCCTGATGGTCCAGTGGTTAAGAATCTGCCGAGCAATGCAGGAGATGCAGGTTTGATCCCTGGTTGGGGAACTAAGATCTCACATGCCGAGAGGCAACTTACTGAAGCCCGAGCACTGCAAGAAAAGATCCTGTATGATGCAACTAAGACCAGACACAGCCAAATAAAATAAATAAATATAAAAAAAAATCTGCCAGATCTCACAAAGGATTAGTATCCAGAACACACAGAGAATTCCTACAGATTAATAAGGAAGGGATAAGGTGGCTTAGACAGTAAAGAATCCGCCTGCAATGCGGGAGACCTGGGTTGGATCCCTGGGCTGCGAAGATCCCCTGAAGGAGGGCATGGCAACACATTCCAATATTCTTGCCTGGAGAACCCCATGGACAGAGGAGCCTGGCAGGCGACAGACCATGGGGTCACAAAGAGTCAGACACAACTAAGCGACTAAGCACAGCACACACGTAACTCAACAGACAAACGGGCAAAGGATACACACTGGCATCTCACAGAGGAAATGCAAATAACTGATAAGTCAAATGAAAAGCAAACTAATCTCACTAGTTGCCAGAAAAATGAAAATGAAAGAATTAGGTACCATTTTTTATCTATAAGATAAATGAAAAGGAAAATTAACCAAATCAAGTGTTGTTGAAGATATGGTGAAATGGGTACTCACACACTGTTCAGATGGTCCTATAAATAAATTTAGCCACTTTGGAGGGCAAAGGAACAGCAGTTATTAAAATTTTAAATGCACGTGACCTATTACCCAGAATTTATCGTAGAAAAATTGCAGATGTGCAAGAACGAGTGTATTTTTCAAATCAGAAACAAATGGTCTAGTGATATGAAAATGGTTAAGTAATCTGTGGTATGTTATACTACAGAACTCTATGCATCAATTCAAGAGAATGAGTTAGGTTTGTATACACTGATGTGGTAAAACCTCTAAAATACACTCAAGTTAAAAACAAAAAGAATGTTTCAGAATGAAGCATATGGTATGAGATCATTTATTTAAAACAAAACAAAGCAAAATAAACCCACAATCTAAAACTAAAGATTTATTTAAATGCACAGAAAAAAAATCTAGAGGATGAGAATTAAACTGATAATAGTAACTATCTCTATGGGTAGCAGTGGGATGTCAGGTATCGCTCAAGAGGACTTAAGTTTCATCTGTATATTGACTTTTTTTTTAAAATAAAGAAAATGTACGTGTGTACTACTTATATAATTAAAAATAAAGACACTCAGGGAAAAAAAAAGGCCTGTAGTCATTAGGTCTTATCAGAAGGCAGAGTTGAAAAGGATGGTTCCTGCTGAGTACAGGCCTCTCTGTTTCATCTTTGTAGCAAAAAAAGGGTTAGGATCCATCAATCATGACTGTCTCCATATGAGTATCATTCCTGCTGCTACTTTTAACAGGCAAGGCATTAAATTCCCCACTCTCTAAGCATCTGCCTTTCTTTCTATTGGCTCTAAATCTGGGGTCAAAACTCAACAGAATAGGAAGGAAAGAACAAATCTAAAGAGGTTAAGTCATCATTTTGTTACATCTGAAGTTCAAGGGCAGGCTGTATTTGCAAAAACTGCCACAGCAGTCTCTCCTTGCATACGCTTTGTATACCAGTGTGACTGTGACACTCCTCCCATTGGGGTGGGGGGGGGCCATGTTCCTTCCTCTTGAATTCTGAAGGCCAGGTGACCACAGAAGTGACCTTATGTGACTTCTAAGACCTGGTTCTTAGAGCATCTTGGGGGTGCTCATTCCTGGGCCCCAGCACCACCTCACCTGGGGGAAGCTCAAGCGGCTGGGAGGACCACCCAGCTAAGGTCCCAGCCAACGGCAAGCACCAATCTGCCCTCATGAGAGTAAATCAGTGGATCCTCCAGCCCCTCCTGGAGCTACCCTGGCTGATGCTGCATGGAGCAGAGATGAGCTGTCCTTGCTGGGCCAGGCCTAGATTGCATGAGCGAAACTGTTCTCGTCAGCCACTGAGTCCTGGATTGTGTTGATTATTTACAAGGAAACAACAAGAAGGGTTTCCCTAACAAATGGAGCCCTGGGCAGCTGAGAGATGTCAGCAGCCACTCCCGTGAGACAGGCCAGCAACCACCTGACACAGGGAGCCTTAGATGACATGGTTAGGAGCTGGTAGGGAAGACATAGAGGGAACATCTACATCAGAGAGAGGCAGGTCAGGTGACCTCTGAGTCTCCTCCCACAGTGAGATTCCACACTGTACTTTCTGAGCTGAGCACTCAAGTACCTCGTAGCACCATCTTTTCTTAAAAGGGAAGATCATTTTCTCCAACGAGATTTTACCTTTCAGAAAGCTGCCGAATCTGTGGAATGCCCATATATTTGTGGAAGTGCTCCAGAACATTCATTACGCCCTGAAGAAGATTAGCAACTTCTCCGTACTGCCTTCGCCTGGTCATGGCTCTGCAACGAAACAGGAAGTTGAGGGTTCTAGAAAAACACTAAGGACACAAGATACAGATATAGACCAACCTAGTCTGGGCTCTAAAGCAGACAGCAACTCAACTTATAATAATAAGCATTCCTGAGCACTGAACATATACAGTCCTATGCACTGGGGGAGAAGGAAAAAACAGCACCAAGTTCAAATCCATAAAGGGACATGAGTAAGACAGGGAGAGTGACAAGGACATTTAAGTAGTACCAAGTAGGATGAATGCAGCTCTAAACAGAAGTCCAAGTTGTGTGCTCTGGGAGGTACAAGACTGTGTGAGTGATGAAGTCTCACTGGGTTGGGGGAGGGGAATCTGGGAAGACTATGGATTTGGGATTTGGGTTGGGTATTACAGAAGTGCTGGCTTTTGACAGAGAACAGGGGCAAGGATGTTACTACTTGACGGTATGGCATTTGAGCAAACCAAACACATCTTCCCAGAATACAATAAAGAGTATTTATATGCACTTACACATTAACTCAAAGCTGTAGATTTTAAGCCAAGATTAAGCAACTCTGTGAATGTTTAGGTATGCTTAGTTTCCCTACTGCTAAAGCTAATGAAGCTTAAATAAAAGGATGCTGATAAAATCTACAGTTACAGCAAGGAAGGAACAAACTATCAGATCTAAAGTTTTCATTAAGGTTGGGTTTTTTAATTAAACATATAATTTATGACTTCCCTTATGAAGCACTTAGAGAGACTGGATCAAGTTCAAGCCGAGGAGCTATGTGGCTACTGCCTCCTGGTCTGCTGGTTTGGTAGAAAGCACGGAGCACCAGGAGGAAGGGACGAGGACACTGCTGTTCCAGTCACTAGGAGAACAGTCCAGGGATCGCTGAAGCCCGTGCGACATCAGGGAGAGACCAGGAAGAGCCTGCACCCTACTCACCCAGACTTTGGAAACTGTGTCTGTATTCCTAGGAAGGTGCTCTTTCTCTGCCCACCCGTGAGATTATGCTGAGGTTGGGACTAGGGGAATTCTTAGCCTGGGAGAGACCACAGCAGCAAACAAGAAGGTCAGAATCTTGGTAAAGGAGGCCTTTTGGGGCTGTTTCCTTGTGGTCAGTAACCAGCTCCTCCTTTTAATATTGCTACTCATGTTATCAACGTACCATTCCCTACAGATGCTTTGCAAGCCAAATGGGAAGCTTCGGTCTTTGAACAACTAAGTTGAAAAAAAGTAAAGTGGGCTGAATGATCAGTCAATGATCTGTTTCCATTAGGCACCTTCAATGCCAGTGAAACTCAGCCCAAGACCAGTAAGAAAACTTGCCGAGGCAGAGGTTGGGGTGTGTGACTACACAGCCCTATGTCTCCTCTCAACCTCCAAGGTAGAGATCTATCACAAGGAAATGACCCGAGTTCTTGCAGTCATTCTCCACAAGCGTTCCAGGTCCCCTTAGTCACCTCAAAGTCTCAGGTGTTTGTTAGATGTTGAGCACCTGAGTGTACAAAACAAAAGCGGTGTCTCAACAGCTGAGACCGATTTGTAGGAAGTGAGACAGAGTAGGGAGACTCTCCTGGCTGAGAAGTAAATAAACCTACAATGCCGTTTCCTCTGTGACTCATTCATTTCCCGCGGACCTGGGACAGACCGCCTACGTGCTTACTCGAGGGAATCCACGCCACCCGCCAGCATGTGCAGGTGGTTCAGCGTTGTGATCGAGGTGGTCAGGTGGCGTTTGGCATGATCTAACTGCTTAATGTCGCGGGTGATTTCCTTTACCTAAATAGTGCAAAACCACAGGAGAAAAAGAGGGCTGGTTAAGATGGATGTCAACCCGTCTGGAAGTGGCCTCACAAGAAAATAATGCAAACAAAATAAGGACAAACACACCTCGAGTTAGCCCTTGGAGAAAACACAGGTGTTTTCCCAATGCAGACCCAAAATAATTTCCAATCAGCCCGTTTACATTTAATTTGGCATTTCTTCAGCAGACTTTACCCAGGGCTACAAAATCCTCAGTTGTAAGAATGAAATGAACTTTATTCTTCACCCCAAATGGTGTGATCCTAATAGTAACTGAGTGTGGGGCACACGGGGTCCGATAGCTGAGGACAGTTGATCTCCTTCTGCACAAGGTCAGGAAAGTACACTGCCACAAGGACATCACCTTCTGGCAACGGGGCAACTAGGTGTGGTACAAAATGGATAGTGTGAGTCGGCTAATTCTATTGAGATGTTCTTTATTCATGGAACTAGGGTTCATTGTCCAGTCTCCACAAAGAAAAATTTCTTCTCAAATCTCAAGAGGACTAAAATGTAACCCATGCAAAATAAGCTTAACATAGTATCAGGAGAGGAGAGTCTTCAGGGAGACAGAAGGCAACTGAGGGAGTAAAATGCCAACAGTATTGATGGTGGTGGTGGTATGGAGGGGAATCCCAAGAGAAAGAAACACTGTAGCTGGGAATGTTAGTACTGGGTTGGCCAAAAAGTTTATTCACTTTTCCACAAGACTGTCTAGAAAAAGCTGAATGAAATTTTTGGCCAACATAATGTATTTCAGTCACTAGAAAAGTACATTCAGTAGTGAGATGGGAACAATTCTCCAACTTTATTAACACTTAGGCGGATTTCTCCACTAAACTGTCCAAGTCCATGCTGACCAAGAAATTTTCTGAAAAGTAATTTGGTTTCCCAGGTTCTTTGACACCTGGAGGAAAAGATAACAGGCATAAACATTCTAGTTGCTAGAAAGATAGATCTCCCATTAAAAGTGAAAAAGCCCAGTGAGTTAAGATCATGTGACCTGATTTTTTTAGTTTGATCACCCTCAGTGAAGCTATAAAGTAAAGGTTCATGACCTGAATAGCTCAGTTCCACACTCACAATCCTGAAAAGCTGACTGGATCTTAGCAGGAAAAGGTCTCTTTCCAGGGACCTGCCCCATCAAGTCTGCTCTCTATATGACCCTCAGGCTACCAAAATATCTCTATTTCTATTGCGGGGTGGGGGGGGCGGGGGCGAGCTAAAAAATCTATCATGTGTTTACTAAATAAGTAAGTTTGGGGGAAAAGAAGATCAAGAATAGATAGGAAATAGGAGTGTGGCCCTATAATTGGATCACTCCTTTCCAACACTGAAATAAATCATCATTTTCCTTCCCTCCAAAAAAAAAAAAAAAACCCCTGTGTTCCTTAGCTCTACTGCAAGCGTCAGGGGTCTTTAACTACTATGTTAAAAGTCAGCATCATCTGTGACTCTTCTCACCCCTGTGTCACTAACCAGTCATTAAATCCTGAACATTCTTCCTTTGCCTCATCTCAAGAATCTGTCCAGTTCCGCTCCTCCTCAGGCGCTCGCTGCTTCCAGTAGAGCAGGATCCTAAGTGGTCAATGAATCCCCACAATCTCATGACATATGCACGACTATCACCTCCACTTCACAATGAAGAAACAGAGGTACCGAGAGGGTAAATATCAGTAACTTGTTTGAGGCCCACAGGGAGTCAGGAGAGAGGGTGGATCTGAAGGCAGGTGGTCTGATGTCAGAGGCTGCGCTGCTCACTAATGATATCAAACTGATCCCCGCCCCCCATGCCCACCACTGAAGCCAGGCCTGCCCTGCCCACGTTCCACATCCTGCCCAACCCTGCTGAACGGGCACTGACGAGAAGCGCAGGATCCTTTGGAGTGTGACCTCGGGTCTGTCCCCGAGTGGATTATAATAAGACGTAGAGAGAAGTTTGTGAGGGTTTAGGAGTCTGTGTCAGAGAAGGCAATGGCACCCCACTCCAGTACTCTTGCCTGGAAAACCCCATGGACGGAGGAGCCTGGTAGGCTGCAGTCCATGGGGTCGCTAAGAGCCTGACATGGCTGAGCGACTTCACTTTCAGTTTTCACTTTCATGCACTGGGGAAGGAAATGGCAACCCACTCCAGTGTTCTTGCCTGGAGAACCCCAGGGACAGGGGGGCCCAGTGAGCTGCCGTCTATGGGGTCGCACAGAGTTGGACACGACTGAAGTGACTTAGCAGCAGCAGCATCAGGAGTCTGTGTGACCAAGATGAGTAGGAGGGAGAAAATGACAGTAATAATGGCTTTCATTCATTAAGCAACTAACACCAGCCCAGTACTATGCTCTGTGCTCCTCTGACAAATTCCTTTAGAGGTAGTTATTCTTCCTATTTAGAATGGAAAAACTGGTGAGCCCCTCGGTCGGCAGATGAACACATCCCTGGAGGGCACCACTGGTAGAGGGAGACCTTAAACCCCTCAGAGCGTCTCACCAGTGGGATGCAGCCTCCCCAGATCCAAGCCCAGTTTTCAAGTGGTATCACATGTCGTACATCTGAACTGAGAAATGGGTGATGCGAACAAATGTTAGAGAGAGAAATCCAAAATGACTAGCAAACTATTTTGGGGATGGAGAAGAAAAGAACTTTCCCTCCTTAAAGAGAGGGCTGCAGATGCTGGCAGCAGGGAGGCTGAGTCACTGTGTATCTCATGGCTCCTCCTGCATGGGTGTGGCGTGTCCTCCCAGGGCTGGAGTTGGAGACATTGGGTGTGGTTGGTGGCAAGGGGGAAGAACAAATCTATTAACCAGTACACGACTGGATGACAAGTCAACTTCCTCTGCTGGTGCAAAAATGTCAGGAGGAAACCTCAACTCACCATTTGCTCTGATTTTTCTGCTTTGTCTTTGATATCTTTGATTTTTCCGAAGAGCTGCTGTATCGCTTTCTGGGCCTCTTCAAGTGCCTAGAATGAGAGGAATAAATGAAACACAAGGCAGCACTAGTCTCTACACTATGATCAAGTGCAGCCTCAGAAGAAAATGCCGGGAGTTCTCTTGCTTCGTTGCACTTGTGCCGACGATTTCACCTGAGTCTTGGGCAGCAGAGACAGAGGGAGTCCAGCATTTGGATACAGGCAGATAAACATTCAGGGTTCTTGCCAAGTTGAATCATAAAGTTTTAATTTAAAAACTAAACTATTTCCTTCCATCTCAGTGAACACTAAACATACTGATGACAATAAAGAAACAGGAATGCACATCTGCGTGTGTGCATGTGCACACATATGTGGTAACTTTCAAAAGCCTGCAGAGACACAGAGGTGGCTCTAAGTTGAGGGTAGGAGATGCTCCAGATTTTGGAAGTTCCAGAAGATGAAGCCTTCAAAAAAAAAAAAAAATCAGAGCTGTGTATGGGGACTCCAGAACTGTGGCCAACCTTAAAAACATTTCTAGATACCCCACTTAGAAATCAAAGGAGTTACAAAGGGACACAGAAAGCTAATGGTGAGCCAAATGTTTCCACTGAAATAAACCCCAACAAAGACGACACCCATGAAAAGCATTACAGCCCACAGCTGCAACTGTGGTAGTCTGGGAAGGAACATCTGGGAAGTGGAGAAGGTGCTCAGTTACACACTAGCAGAACACACATACTGGTGAAGAAGGCAGTGGCCTGAAGAACTCAAGTTTTAGTTCATCAAACACAGTTCATTTATTTTGGACTTAAGAGTGGTCTGTCTTAACGGGGCCTCCTGAGCCCTTTAGAAATGTAAAAAGTCTGTGTGTGGCCATCTGTGCCTGCACGGGACAAATAGCCAGCCTCCCAGAGAAGAACACCCTGACAGAGGCAAGAGGACAGCAAAGCTGTGATGTAGGCAGGAGGACAAAAGCCCTGACAGATTTGAACCTTCGCCTTCAGCAGAAGCCAGATAGAGCTGCCTCTGGACTACGAACTAACACATTTTCCTTTTTGCTGAAAAATATCCTCAATAAGCAAACTTAAGGTGGCTTCCTAGGCAGGTAATTCCTCCCTGGCTGGAAGGAGGGACTGTGTCTCCCCGTCCTTCCCTGGCTTCCGGGAGGCTGCTTTTCTGATGCTGGGACTACTTCCTCCTTCTGGAATATCTCACCCAGTGTGGCTCAGCCCCGACAGAGGTCTCTTCTGACCTTCTTGAACCTCTGGGATCGGCAGGGGTTTCAGGCTGGGGACGAGGAATGCCAAGCTGCTGCGTGAGACTGTGTCTCAGCTTCCTTTGACCATTCGTTGCGAAGACTGAGGTGATGATATTTGAATAAACAGCTGTTCGTACCACCTCCTGGGGCAGGCAGAGTGTGCATCTGCTCTGCTGGATCGCTGAACTTGTATCTACCAAGGCTGGGGAGCAAAGGAGCTTTTATACTGGTCATGTCTGCCATCTGGGCTAAGGTATTTTAATCATCAGACAGTTTGGTCTCAGAACAACAATTGGCATTGGTACCTGTAATTTGGGAAATGTTACCTGAAGAGGAGTAACCAGTCCAAATGGGTGATGGAATGGAACTGGGTCTCCCTGAGCAGCCCCTCAACCCCAACCCCTCCCGAAAGGATGCCTCACTCAGCAACTGTTTCCTCTCTGCTTCCCACCATCCTGCCTTCCTCACTCCCAGATTCAACACCCCCAAAACAGTTGTGGAGCAGTGAGAGATCCCGCCACATTCCAGCCAGAAGGCAGGTGTCTGAGGCCTCCCTGTGCCGTCACATACCAACTGGACAACCTCTCTGGGGATCGGTTTCCTCATCTGCAAAGGGGTGACAAGGCAACCTACTTCCAGTGTTGTTGGGAGGATTCAAGGACATAACAGGTATAAAAAACTGCACAGATACTAACTAGGTCTATTTCCAGGGCTTATGACCAGCTTGGGCAAATGTACGTTTGCACCTATGGATAGATACATCCATACATACCTACTATTCTTCCCTCTCACTCACCACCTCTAGGCCTGCCCACTGTCGGACACTTTCTATCCTCAGCCACAGCCCCTGTGAATTCATGCCCATCTAGCGCACCTCCCCACCCCTCCTAGGAATTCCCTTCTTCATTTCTAATATTTACTTCCTCAAAACAAGGATACAAGATTCTGCTGAGCACTGTTAACTGCCATACTGCCCAACATTAGAGTTCCTAAGATGACGACAAACCAAAATCAAGTTCTAACAAAATTTAAATGTGAAAAAGTAATAAATGATCTGTTTTTGTGCCAGTGCCATACTATTTTGATTGCTGTTGCTTTGTAGTATAGTCTGAAGTCACAGAGCCTCATTCCTTCAATTTCATCTTTCTTTCTCAAGATTGCTTCAGCTTTTTGGGTCTTTTGTGTTTCCTTTTTTTTTTTTTTAATGGTCTAAGATCTAACGTGAGAATTTTTTTTTTCCTTTTTTTTTTTTAATTATTTATTTATTTATTTATTTATTTTTTATCACAACCATAGTGTATCTTTTTTTTTTCTTTTTTTTTTTTTTTACATGTATTCCCCATCCCAGTCCCCCCTCCCACCTCCCTCTCCACCCAATCCCTCTGGGTCTTCCCAGTGCACCAGGCCCGAGCACTTGTCTCATGCACCCAACCTGGGCTGGTGAACTGTTTCACCCTAGATAATATACGTGTTTCAATGCTGTTCTCTTGAAACATCCCACCCTCGCCTTCTCCCAGAGTCCACAAGTCTGTTCTATACATAGGAGTCTCTTTTTCTGTTTTGCACATAGGGTTATCGTTACCATCTTTCTAAATTCCATATATATGTGTTAGTATACTGTAATGGTCTTTATCTTTCTGGCTTACTTCGCTCTGTATAATGGGCTCCAGTTTCATCCATCTCATTAGAACTGATTCAAATGAATTCTTTTTAATGGCTGAGTAATATTCCATGGTGTATATGTACCACAGCTTCCTCATCCATTCGTCTGCTGATGGGCATCTAGGTTGCTTCCATGTCCTGGCTATTATAAACAGTGCTGCGATGAACATTGGGGTACACGTGTCTCTTTCAGATCTGGTTTCCTCGGTGTGTATGCCCAGAAGTGGGATTGCTGGGTCATATGGCAGTTCTATTTCCAGCTTTTTAAGAAATCTCCACACTGTCTTTTGTGTTTCCATATGAGAAAATTTATGGAAGATTAGGACAGAGACTGCCACCAAAACGAACACCAGGGAAGTCACTGATGACCTTGACAGGAACAGTTTCAGTGGAGTCAAGGGAACAGAAATGGACAGTGGTGTGACAAAGTGGCGGCGGTGTGTACAAGAGCAGGGACCAGCAAATGACACCTCAGGGCAAAATCTAGTCTGCCACACCTGTTTTTGTAAACAGTGTTGGCTTGGATCATACTAATCCCTTTCATTTAGGTTTTACACTTCCCTGGTGGCTCAGAGGTTAAAGCGCCTGCCTGCAATGCGGGAGACCTGGGTTTGATCCCTGGGTCAGGAAGATTCCCTGGAGAAGGAAATGGCAACCCACTCCAGTATTCTTGCCTGGAGAATCCCATGGATGGAGGAGCCTGGTGGGCTACAGTCCATGGGGTTGCAAAGAGTTGGACACAACTGAGCAAATAACTTTCATTACTTTCACCTCTACTACAGCATCTAACCAAAGCTGGAGCACAGTTAGAACTTGACAAATATTTGCCAAAAGATTATAAACCCCATGGGGTACTCCTCAGAAGAGCAGCAGTGCTGAGTTACTGCTCTGGATGAGCACAGCCCTCCCTAACTCAAGGCACCACTGTAAGCAGTGATTCAAAACCACAGCATCCCACTTTCTGTAACTGTTATCTATTTGGCCAATGTAAAGTCTAAGGCCCCCAATGCTGCCAGAAGTGAGTAAATTCTCAACCTACTGGACCTTCTAAAAAATGTTTGGTCATTGCGTGAGAGAGCACTGCAGAGGCCCCTGCTGGCAAGTCCCCATCAAAAAAGACTCACTTTTTGTGGCACAGCATCCAATTGCACAGAATTGTGCATCCAATTCTGTGATCTTGTTGGTCATGTCATGGTCTAAGGATGCGCTGATGGTATTAAAGCCAAAGTGTTCTCTACCCAAATCGCCTAAGACACATGACATTCAGTGAAAGGAAAGGCAAGAAGGGCTGCATGCTATGCTTCGATCTCAGGTCTGAAGAAGTTTCCACAATCCTTTCTCAGAGAAAGGGTTTCTGTCTCTATTCCTCTCTTCTTCTCCATCTGGCATCCTACCAGAACTGTCTCTGCTTAAGGTACCACTTTTTCAGCGAAGAAGTTAAGACTCACACCATCTTACATTTCACAGTCTTAAAGAAGATAAACTGTCTGCCAGATTTTTTTTGTTTTCAGGCTAGAATATTTTTGCTTGTTATAACAATGTACTGAAGTTGAGGAAATTTAGTATAATTCATTTTCCAGAGCCCAAAAGGTTCTTCTGAAGTATTCGATCCATCAAGCAAGTCACCTACCCTAATATTTGATATCTAATAATCAATCACCCTAGAGGAGGAGTGTTTTGTAGTTGGAAATATCCTAGGACCTACAGAAGGTCAAGATTTTACTTTTAAATGACCCTAAAATGCTTTTATACCTAGTTAATGAGAAAATGTGCTGAAAGAATGATTCTGGCACTGCCCCTAGACACTCATTAAAATAAAATGTGGCTACTTTTCCATTCCAGGCTATATGTGGATTAAAAACAGAACTAATCACCCAAAAATGTCTGCTTTCAATCCACCCTTAGCGGAGTTTCTGAATTGAGCACTGGAGCGTGGCTGCAACCTGCATCCAAGGATGCTATTAGGAAGCAGTGACTGTGGCTGTCCTCTTTACTGACTGAGATTCTGCAAATGGGAGATTCAAGGCGACCCACTGAGCTAGCTTAGACTCAGTGCTAGACTCAGCAGAATCAATTATGCTATCTCTGTATTTTTGTGCATTATTGACTGTAACCATTATTCTTAATT